TGTTGTGCCTGGGATTTGGCTCCTACTAGGAGAGGAACAAGATAAAAGATAAAAACATCAGGCGTGTGTCAGGAAACCTTCTGATGAGAATGGTTTCTGGTGAGTTGATGCCTTGTCTCAGGGCCGGCCCTTCCCGCTCTGCCCCTTGCCCCCTGCTGTTCACCCACCCACAGCACTTTCAATGCATCTGGTCTCCCGTGGCTTGCCTCACCCTTGCTCCCACTCAAACATGCGTTAACCCCCTACAACAAAATCCTGTTTGACTGGACCAGAGGTCTTCGACCCTGACTGTGCATGGGAGTCACCTGCAGAGCAAAACAAAACAAAAACTTGATACTTGGACCCACCCCCAGACCAAAGGAATTTGAATCACTTGGATGGGGACAGTAGACATTGACATTTTTAAAAATCTCTCCCCTCACCCCCACCTCTGTAATTCTAATGTACATCCAGGATTCAGACACACTGGTCCTGATATTTTGCATCAGAATTACCTGGGGAGCTTTTTAAAAATATAGATTTTAAACCTAATAAATCAAAGAGCCTCAGGGGGTGGTCAGACTGTGATTCTCTGCTTCTCTCTGCCTCCTCTTTCCCGCCGGACTTCCTCTGTATAAACCTGAACAACTGGGACCATCAGCTCAAGCCCTCATGTATCCAGAGCCTGCCATTACTAGGAAATGGAATCCCTTCGTGCAAATTCTTAAGACTCTGCCTGACTTAACCCAATTTATAATTTGATACTTTTGGCAGAACCTGCTAAAACCTTGAACTTTGCCTTATCAACAAGCCAAAAGACTACATTTCCAGTTTCCCTTGAGCCTCAGTGTAGTCCTGAGGCTAAATCTTATGCAATGAGATATAAGCAAATGTGCTATATGAGTCTTCTGGGAAGTTTCTTTGGGAGTGGATGTGATGATGTGATGGCTGGAGCTCCTACTGCCATCTAGGAGCCATGCACACAAGAGCCACATCTTTGAGAGAGCGGAATGTGAGCAGGAACAGCCCGGGTCATTGATGAAGACCTGACACCAGCCCTGGACTGCCTACGTCTTTTATGTGAGAGAAAAATACATGCCCATTTTTTTAAAACCTAAGGTGCATACCCAAGGATATGTTTATTGGTTTGAAAGAGAAACATCAACTGGTTGCCTCCCATATGCACCCCAACTGGGGGTCTAACCCACAACCCAGTTATATGCCCTGATTTACCTGAAACTTTTTGGTGTACAGGGTGGTGCTCCAACCAACTCAGCCACCCAGCCAGGACCATGCCCATTTTTTAAAGCAACTATGTGGGGGTGTTTCTGCTACTTGAAACTGAACCAAAACCTTACTGATAGTTTCCTGTCATCCAATAAGCTGTGACCAGAGAGGCGGGGCAAGGAGACACTGACCAGGTAATAAATCTCCAGGCCAGAGCACATTTCCCAGGAAAGGGGGCCTGCAGAGTAGACAAGCCACAGGGCATACCCACCACAGCTCCCGAGTGCCATTGCCAGACAACTTGGGTCTGTACAGAAGGGAAATGCTGGAATGCATGGCAATCTTTGGCATGGGCTGCTGCCATGGAACATGTACCAGGGTGAAATTACAATTCAAGGGAAGTGGGTTCTGGGTGGGGGGTTGTGGGGACCGTGGCTTCAGGCCAGGGTGGCAGGTGCTCTGAGCAGATGAAAGTCAGTTGTTCCGCTAATAACTGGAGAAACGCTGGTTACAGTTTTTCAGGGATCTGGTTAACTCATTTCCTTTGGCTGCTTACAGCTGTGATTTATAGGCCGAGAAGCCAGTTGGGATAATAAAGCCCCTAGGCCTCGTGGCAAACTGCGCAGATTTTTCAAGAAGAAAGAGGCCACTTGAACATCTCCATCGGCTTTTCCTGAGTGCATGATACCCAGGGAAAACAGGTTTCTGATGTATCTCCATTACTCACAACCCCAAGAAGAAAGATGAGCGGAGTCAAGAAACATCACTATGCCATGATTTAAAAAATGAAGTGTTACATTCACTGCAGATACCTGACATGTTTTGAGAGACCCGGAACAGATTTCCCAGAACTGCAGCTCCCAGCAGACACTGGTCCCACCATCATTTTTTCCCTTTTCTCTAAAAGCTCTTAAGGGGTTAAGAAAAATTGGTTCAATTATCAATTGGTTTGAATGATTCTATTCAATAAAAGGAAGACTATAATATATATAATTTTATTTTTATTTTAAGATAAACAATAAACAATTATATTTCATTGGTTATGCTATTACAGTTGTCCTGATTTTTCCCGCTTTGCCCCCCTCCACCCAGCACCCCCCACTCCCTCAGGCAATCCCCCCACCATTGTTCATGACTAGGGGTCATGCATGTGAGTTCTTTGGCTTCTCCATTTCCTATGCTGTACTTTACATCCCCATGGCTATTCTGTAACTACCTATTTGTACGTCTTAATCTCCTCACCTCTTCACCCATCCCCCACACCCCCTACTATTTGGCAACCATCAAAACGTTCTCTGTATCCATGATTCTGTCTTTGCTTCTTGTTTGTTTTGTTTGTTTTTTAGATTCAATTGTTGACAGATAAGTATTTATTGCCATTTTATTGTTCCTAGTTTTGATCATCTTTTTCTTAAATAAGTGCCTTTAACATTCCATATAATGTTTTTTTAAAGATTTTATTTATTTCTTTTTAGAGAGAAGGGAAGGGAAGGAGAGAGGCAGAGAAACATCAATGTGTGGTTGCTCTCATGTGCCCCCAACTGAGGACGAAGCCTGCAACCCAGGCATGTGCCCTGACTGGGAACTGAACTGGCAACCCTTTGGTTTTCGGGCCCACACTAAACCCACTGAGCTACACCATCCAGGGCTTATATGAAAATGGTTTGATGATGAAATCCTTTAGCTTTGTCTTGTCTGGGAAGCTCTTTATCTGCCCTTCGATTCTAGATGATAGCTTTGCTGGGCATCTGCTATCCGACCATCTCCTACTAGGCTATGGTCTTCTGTTCAACTTCCTAAGTGAATAAATCCTGAAAGTATGTACATAACCTCTCTCTGCTGACAGAGCACTGTGCCTGAAGCACTGGTGCCCTCAAAGCTGCCGTGTTGCTCTGGGTCACAGGAGCAACAGGTCTGAGCTCAGCCACAAACGCTAGACACTATGTCAAACACAGGGACTTAAGAAAGAAACCAGTTGTTCTCCACGTTCAGAAGAAAGGAATGTAATGGTCTGTGATAGAAAATGAGGAGAGAAAACCCCATCAAAGTATAGACCATTCTCAGGCTTTAGCACAGACCACCAAAGACATCCACTTGGACAGGAAATCTTTGTTGGGGGTAGGGGATGGGGCAGAGAAATAGGCCAACTGAGTGAGAAAGGCAATGGCTATTTACTCAGAACTTGCTAAAGCAAAGGTGCAACATCACTGCAAGGCAGGCAGAGGAGTTGGGAGCTTCAGAGTGAAAAGTGGGGAGACTTCAGGTGTGCCCTGCAGGAGGCTGTCATCCTGGGGAAGATGCAGACCGGCTAACTAGAATCACGGTGTCCCGTGTGACTGGTTAGGACAGCATATTGAGCTTTCTCTGGCTGGTCCTGCATTACAAATGGGACAAAAATTAGGGGACCTGTCAGTTATTAAGCAAGTCCCTCGCCACTTGGAGCCAATTGTTTCAGAAAAGATTGCTCAGCTTTCTGGGTTGTTACTAGTGATAACAGTCCGGGTTCCTCCAAATCTGATCTAGAGCAGGGCAATGCTTAGGACTGGTTATTGTAAATAATGGTTTGGTTTACTGGACAGGCTGTTGCAGCTTGCAGCCAGCGTTTTCTTTTTACATATGGTCTGGCCATTGTCTGTATGCTGTCTCTTATCTTTCAGACAAAGACAGATCCTGGCCTACAGGCAGCGGACGGACCTACAGCCTGCAGAGCGATTCCCAGTGTTTCTAGAGACCCGTTTTGGGAGACAGCTAACTCCTGTTGGCCCCCTTGACCGGAAGTGCCTGAAGACATCCCTGCTCCTGTGAGCACATCCCCAAGACGATGCTTCCAGGACGGCGAGAAAGGACGGAGAGGCTAGGGGTTGAGGTGGCAGTGGGGCCCTGTGAGGGGGCAGGGAACAGTGCTCAGGGATTCTCAGCCCTGGATGTCGGTCAGAACCCCGTGGGCAATTCTGAACAAATACTGATGTTATGGCCCACCCTCCAGAGCAGGGCGGCATCACTATTTCTCCAAAACTTCCCAAGTGATTCTAACGTGCAGCCTGGCTTGGCAGCTGCTGACCGAAACCTTCGAGAGACACGGGGAGCAAAGACTGACCCGTCAGTGAAAGTGAAACAGGGCGACGGCTGTGACCACTTTCTCGAGAGGCCTCCAGTCTTTCCGTCTTGTAGTGTTGGGCGCTAGAAACATGAAATGCAGAGGGAGACCAAACTCTGAAAGTAGCAAATAGACAATGCCATAGAGTGTGAGCCTACCTGCATGCCACGAAAAATGCAGTGGGATCGAACGAAACGGGGGCAAAAGTAACAAATTCAAAACACTTCAAATCATGACAAAAATGATGGAAGTATGGCCTATTCCAAGCAGCATTCTTCATTTTTACTTTTTACCATTACGATGTATTTTCCTGCTTTAAAATGCCATTTTATCATAGCATATTATTTCTCATAGATTTCATGTAATGAGAGGGTGTGCTCGTGTGTCTGTGTGTATTTTCAGTCTAAACGTGTACATTTGTCAACTACTTTACCCGGAATTCAGAGCAATAGGCATTTGGGGGCATATAAACTCAAAAGAATCACAGTATTCACTCAACACACATGGTATCCTGTTTTTATTTTTAGTCATTTCTAAATTTTCAAATTTACCAATTTATCTGAATTTGATACAATACCGCCCCCTGGTGGAAATCTATAGAAAATAAACCGCATTCCAAAGTTTCTCCTTTCCCTCCCTCCCTCCCTCCCTCTCTCTCTCTCTCTATCCCCCCTCTCCCCCCCATCCCCCCCCACTCTCCACCTTTTATTCTCTCCCAGCAGGATTTTCTCTCCAAACAAAATTAGATGCAAAACTCAATGAACAAAACAATAAAAATAAAGTTGTCCTAGGAGCTTTCTCTCTCCAACATTGTCACTCAGAATATCCAAAATAAAACCATCTCTAAATGTACACCATTTCCCCCAAAATTAAAATTAAATTTAAAGTACCTCTGTTTCTCTAAAGCGTCTTCATCTCAGTAAATAGCACCTCCTGTACCACTCCCCTGTGGGAGTCCATACCCTCCTGAGGCTTCACGATGCACAGGAACGGATAAAAGCTCGGGGTGGTAGGCCTAAGTCAAGAAACCGGTTAGATATATCTGATTCAGCAATTCCCAGACTCATTTTATCACGAGATGCATTTCCTTCCTCCACAGTACTTTTTAATGACTTGCAGAAAACTCAGGTTATATTTCATTCAGAATGATTGTTCCAGCTTAATTAGCAAATTAGCTCTTTGGCTGCACGTGCTCTTCAATCTTCAACACCGCCCAGGCGCAGTCAGCCAAACAACAAGCCCGTGTGTGACCCTCGGAGAGCTGACCGCAGGTAGCTACTGAATTGATGCCAAGTCCGCAGGTAACTTCATCTGTGTCTTCTACCAGGAACACCGGGAATTCCTCTGTCAGGAGCTGTGCTTTGTCTTCCATTAAATGTAACAAACTTGCACTGCGTGACCACCGTGTACTTGTATTTACAGGGATCACAATGTTCATTCAGCACAACCTGTGAGCATCACGGGCAGCTCAGTGACTGATAGTGAATTCAGTGATTTCCGTACGTTATCTCCTCCTGTGGATTTATGAGCAAAACTGTCAAAATCCCAACAGCTTCCAGCATCCGTGTAAATTAGCACAGGTCCTTGGACACCAGATCTAAAAGTAATCTTTTTTAATCATAATCTCTATTTTTAACAAAAATAGAGCTTTATGTCCTATGCGATTAGTACTAGATGTAAGTCTAGTACCAGATTAGTACTGGGCTAGATCAGTACTAGTCCTAAATTTACTCATACAGATTGTATCATTTCTAATTTTGAAAGGAAATTATATTTTGATCAATAGTCTCCTGGGCCATTTGCTGTCATTTCACGTCTCTTACAGCTTTGACTTGGAAGCGGGGGTCCTGAGGGTTTGCACACACTCACTCAGCAGCCTGGCGGCCTCCAGAGCAGTGCCCCAGTGCATGCAGAAGCCCCCACCCCCGTGGCCGTAGTGGTGGACCACAGGCAGCCTCCGGCCATCCCGGGCTAGAAGCTCTGTCTGCAGCCGAACGCCTGCCCTGGAGGGCCGCAGGCCCACCTTCTCCTGTATGTCCCAGGCTCCCTGGAGGGAGGGCTCCAGAGCACAGCATCGGGAAAGAATATCTCTGCTCATTTCTGCATCTGGGGTCAGATTCCAGTCTCCCTTCTGCCTACATCCACCCAGGGTTACGTTGAATGTGCCGGGGTAAACATAGGTCAGCCCACTCCCGTCTCGGATGAAATGCTTCACCCAGGGAGCCTGAACTTTGAGCACTTGGCCCCTCACAGGGAAGATCTCCGAGTCTCCTGCAAGCTGTCTGCTTCCGAGGCCTGAACAGTTGACCACAACGTCGAAGGACGGGCGAAGCTCCCACAGGTCTTCTATTCGCCGGGTGACCATCAGGCCCCCACTTTCTCTTACCCTGGGGAGAACAAGAGACCAAGAGGTGAGCTTTAGCAGTAGCTTCCTGCTCCACCTCTTACAGGCACAAGGAGGTCAAAGGCTGGCCATTGACCGCTTCCCATTCTTGGGAACTGGGGATTCCTAAAGTTGAACCTAAATAAAAACCTATTTCAAAAAGTCAAAGCTAGGGAAATTATAGGTAGGGTGGGGCAAAAGTAGGTTTACAGTCGTGAGTGCGTGAAACACAGAGTTTATTCTTGTGTTATTATTTATTAATTATTATATTATTTTCCATGCAAACAACTGTAAACCTACTTTTGCCCCACCCTGTACTTTGTGTCCAGTAGGGTTTCTATATCATTTTAGTTGCTGAATAAATACCAAGCTAATCTGGTACTTTAAATACCCAAGTATTTCTTGTTTATGTCATTCACTTAGCACCTTAACTAACTGCCTTGGACTTTTTGTCACATGGTGTTAACTCTCGCATGTTCCTCTGTATGTGTCTGGTCTCCCTAACTAGACGGCTGGCACAGGGGTTACCTGTCCCTCCCCTCATATCTACCACAGGAGGTCAGCATGAGAGGCTAACCATTAAGCATCAGTTCTGTGTTCCAGGCATCCCCGTTAGAACTCAGAATTATTCTTCTCACTCAGAAAAAAATAAGGGAATTTACCAAAGCCTTGGAATTTGAGCAAATTACTTAAACTCATCAAAATTGTTTCCTCAGCCATAACCAAGGGACCAGAGTGCCAAACTCACAGGGTGTCTTTTTAAATGACAATATGTAAAAATTCTATAACTGTAAACATCCTTTTCCATTTCAAGGGCACCTTGCTGGCTGAGCTGTGATAAAAGTCCACCCTTTGCCTGGACTCTTCTTAAATCATCACAGCGGACAGGTTGTTGGGAAGCCCTGTGGGGCTTGCTGTGCTGGGTCCCTCCCAGGTCCCCACCCTCAGGAGGAAACCCACAGAATGTTTCCAGGGACCAGTCACCTGCAGTGTGACCATGTGGTGATACTCAGTCATTGTTGTACGTCCTGTGGCCAAGGCATTAAGATAGCACAGAAGTGTAGGAGGAAACTGTACCTGGAGGCCGGATGTTGAATTAGGTGACCAGGCACCTACAAGACTGCCTTTATGACCATAGGAAGTAGTTATTCTGGAGGTTTTGAGTGACATGGTTGGGGGTATAAAAGCTTGGGGACTTTGTTCTTGGGGCTTCCTGCAACTCAGCAAGACCTCACCCTGGGCAGGGAAAATACCATTGCCCCAAGTACCCACGAGGAAATGGGGGGGGGGGGGTGGCAGGACTCAAGAAGCTGCGCTCACTGAAGAGCCCCAGCCCAGTGTCCTCCGATCATCACCCTAAAACCTGAGTGTCCGTTTTTACCAAGGCTGAAAGCCAGCTCTCCTCTGGACCACATCAGCTGGACCCATGCACAGGGAGAATGATTGTCTTTAGGGCCCTTCCTTGCACTCCCTGGGAGTCCCACTAAGCACTTGTTCACTCACACACACACACACACACACACACACACACACTGCACCTCCCTGGACTAAACGGGAGTCCCCTCTTTCCCTTGAACTTGGGAACAGAGGCAATATCCTGCATCCCACCTGCCACCCCTTGCCCCAGCCCAGGCTGGTGAGAGAGGAATCCTGAGCAGCACTAAAGGGGTAGCTGAGGTTTCTGGTGTGGGACCCATCCGAGGAGAAGCACAGGGGACAGGTAGGTCCCTGGCGAGCTCCAGTACAGACGGATGGGGCTACTTGACAGCAGCACGCGTCAGGGGGCTGCAGGAAGGAGGCGGGACCTTGGAGTGAGAGGTCGGGGCAGGAAGGGGGCGGAGTCAGCCCAGCAGGGTCAGACAAAGGGTGCAGCAGAGTCAAGACCCTGCCTGGAATCCTTGCTCGTGCACCTCGAGTTCGCTGCTGAAAGTCAGACCCTAATTGTTTTTGAAATCTAATGAGTAGAGACTGGGAAAAAGACTCTGGTTGTCATTTAAATTTCTAAGCGCTTTCCATCTCGCCCAAGGTTAGACATTTTAACGCTCCTCTGTTAACATTCTAACGGCTCGTACTTTTATTCTGGGAATATTATCCAAATACGTCTCTGAGTTATGCAAATAAAAGGAAATCTTCTTCCAAGGACCTGAGACAACTTTGGGGCAAAAAGTCACAAAATCGGCTGTGTGAAGGCCAGGGGCTTCTCTGCAGACGAGATCGCTTTCAGAAAATCTGTGTCTGGGCCAAGGAGGGTGGAGGGAGGAGAGAGGAGGTGACGGCTCAGCGTCCATTCCCCCAGCTGGCTCCTCAGACTGCTGGAACTTTCTCCATGAGGAGAAGGCCAGAGGCTTTGAAGACTGATTCTAAGAGGACAGGTGAGACGCGGGGCCGAGCAGGGCTGGAGCTCGGGGATCAGAGCAGGGATGTTCCCCATTCCCCGCCCGCCCCGCCTCCCCGACCTCCTGGAGCCCAGGACCAGAGACTGCTTGAGGCAGGGTCTAGAGCGTAAAGTTTGTTGGGATGAAAAAAAAAAAAAAAAGCACTGAGTTCTGAGTCACTATCTGAGGATAACCTGGAGAAGAAAGAAACAGTGAAGAGCTAGAAAGCAGTTGCTAATGACATGGAAGGGCAGTGAGACAGTTGAGAGGACAGGGTCAAGGACGGGGGGGGGGGGGGGCGGCAGGAGGGGGGCCTGGCCCGGCGAGATGCTGTGTATTATGTATGTATTATTACATGTAGTCAATTAAAAAATGTAATCAATCCTTGCTTCAAGCCCGAAGCATGACACCTTAACCGCGATCAGTCTATTTGTCTGAAAATAAGGGGGAACAAAAGGAAATTAATTTTAAAAACCTCAGTTGGCAAATAGTTCTGTGGTATTGCTTCCCAGGAAAAAGTGCACTGTTTCTTCACAGGGACACTTGAGGCTGCTACTCCTAAAACAGCTCCTAATAGTTAAAATCACATAGAGGAGTCTTTTGCATGTGTGGGGATGTAAACAATTTGCACTCAGAGGACCAACGGTAGTGTTTAAAAAAAGTGACTAGGTTCGTTAAAAATATTTTTATTATTATTTTTGTAGCATGATTCGGGATTTTCTTCTACTTTCTTCTACTTCTAAAGCATGTTATTGGCTCAATGGAAAAATCTGAGCGAGATCTGTAGACTTGAGAAATGTACCTATGTTAATGGAACGCCCTCATACTGATGACTTGACCTTGGTTATATAAGAGAATGTGTTGGGTTTGAGAAGTACATACTCAGTATTTGGGGTGAAAGGGTGTTATAGCTGCAGCTCACTTTCAAAATGTGTAGGAAAAATGTATATTTGGAAGAGAAGGATGAAGAAATATGATAAATTTAAGATTAGGGGAATCTAGGTGAAAGATACGTGGGACTTCTTGCATTTTATAGATACTCTAATTTGTCTAATTTATAGATAGTCTGTTTGACCCAAGACATTTTCTCATCTGATGCCCAAGTTCCTTGTTCATTCCCTTGCAATGCATATGCTCATAAAGTCAAATGCATTCTACCTCCCACTTCTCAGAATCCCCATCCCTGCCTTGGCCACTCCACGAACTTGTAGGAATCGCTGCAGGCCCTGTTCAGGTCTGGGGCAGCCTCTGGTCTCTTTGGGAAAGGGGATGTGGACGAGGCCCCTGGGGTTCAATGGGCGGGGTGGGAGCAGCTGGCTCGCTTAGTCAAGGAACAATTTCACCTCTGCCGCCACCTGAGAGTAGCTGCAGAAGCCCCCGTGGAAAGGCCACAGTTATGGAAGCCCCCTGAGGCTATTCCCTACTACACCACGTTGCCATCAACAGAAAAAACAAACACTATCACTTTCCAGCTTCCCAGCTGGTCCCATCCCACTTCATCCTTGCATAGCCAGGGAGAAAGGACAGTGCTCCCATTAGACCTGTGCTGGGGTCATCTCTTCCCCTTGCTCCTCTGGTTCAGGAGCTGGGCAGCGGATGCTGGCAGGGGGAGGAAATACCTAAAGGTGCGGGGAAAGGAAGGCTGTGCTCTAGGAGGCCTGGCGTGTGTTGGGCACAGAGGAGCAGAGGTCTATTGTACACCGGGAGGGACCTCTGCAAGTGAGACATTTATAAGGCAGGGACAACCCCATCACATTCCTGATATAGAATCCCTATTTCAGTGCAACTGCTGAGGGAACTACAGGAGTTTCTTTCATAGGCACTGCTGTGGGTCAGGCCAAGAGGGAGAACAGAAGACAGAGGAGATAGGAGACAGAGGGCTCTCCCAAGGACAGTAGCAGAGGACTCACTAGATGAGTGGGAAGGACAGCACAGGGGGAGAAGCCCCATGTGGTCAGTGCTGTGGTCAGTGCAGGCCTGAGTGGGGCCACAGAATGAGGCACAGCCTCCTGAAAAGTAAGCAATGCACCTCAGTTACAGGGCCCCCCAAGACAGACACGGGACACCCAGCCTTCTGGATGTCATCAAAGGCAGGGCAGTCCTGATCCAGCTGGGATGATTTATTTAGTAGGATGCCTGGCGAGGAGACAGGCTCAGCTGACCTACTGCCTCGATGATTCGTTTCCTGGAAGGGGCAAGTAAAAGGCAGCAGAATATGACTCCGTTGGCCAAAGACATAAAACATGATCTGCTTGGCTGATTAAACCTCAGGGTTTTTGTTTGTTTGTTGTGGATTTTATTGGAGACATATATTTTGAGAGGGAGATGAACCCGTCTCTTCTTTGAAAAATGATAATGATCTGATGTGTGGTTAAAAACATTTTTTCCCTTTTCTGGCTCGCTGAGTGCAATGCCTGTTTTTGAATCCGAACAGCGTGCCCGAACATTCACATTGTGTAGAGGGGGCGCAGGAGGCAACAAAACAGGCCTGGGGTGTGGGGGACAAGCAGGAGCTGTGCAGCTTCCGGTGGAGGAGAGGGGGTGGCAGCCCACAGAGGGAGCCCCTGGGGCGTGGGCACACCCTCACCCCCCACCTGGCCTAAATCCTTGTCCTGAAAGGTTTGCCTGG